AAAAAAAAAAAAAAAAAAAAAAAATCCAAAAAGAAATTCCTGCATGACTAGCCATGAAATTAATGGATGTTCTCAAAATCCCCAAGGGTCATGTGAATGATACCTTGGCTTACGTTTCAAAGTCAAATAAACAATATGTAAAACTTAATCAGGTAACTCAATTTTCTTGCTTGGTTTCTCAACTGGAGCAGAAATTCGAGGGGGAAAATTTAGATAAATATGTTAATTGCTTTCAGAGACAGAAGTAGAATTTGAATAACATCTATACTAATAATTCATTCCTAAACAGGCAAATTTTTTAAGTTCAAGGGTACAGGTGCAGGTTTGTTACACAAACTTGTATCATGGGGGTTTGTTGTAAAGATTATGTCATCACCCAGGTATTAAGCCTAGTACTAAGATAAACTTGTATCATGAGGATTTGTTGTAAAGATTATTTCATCACCCAGGTATTAAGCCTAGTACCTAAGATAAACTTGTATCATGGGTGTTTGTTGTAAAGATTATTTCATCACCCAGGTATTAAGCCTAGTAGCTAAGATAAACTTGTATCATGGCGGTTTGTTGTAAAGATTATTTCATCACCCAGGTATTAAGCCTAGTACCTAAGATAAACTTGTATCATGGGGGTTTGTTGTAAAGATTATTTCATCACCCAGGTATTAAGCCTAGTAGCTAAGATAAACTTGTATCATGGGAGTTTGTTGTAAAGATTATTTCATCACCCAGGTATTAAGTCTAGTAGCTATTAGTTATTTTTCCTGATTCCCTCCCTCCACCCTCTAACATCTCCCACTGTGTTGCTCCCCTCTATATGTCCATGTGTTCTCATTATTTAGCTCCCACTTTCAAGGAGAATATGTGGTATCTGGTTTTCTGCTCCTGCATTAGTTTGTTAAGGATAATATCCTGCAGCTCCATCTATGTCCCTACAAAGGACATTATCACATTCTTTTTTATGGCTGCATAGTATTTCATGGTGCTTATATACCACATTTTTTTAATCCAGTCTATGATTGATGGGCATTTAAGTTGCTTCCATGTCTTTGCTATTGTGAATAATGCTGCAATGAACACACACATGCATGTGTCTTTATAATAGAATGATTTATATCCCTTTGTGTGTACGCCCAGTAATGGAACATCTGGATCAAATGGCATTTCTGTCTTTAAATCTTTGAAGAATCGCCACACTATCTTCTGCAATGGCTGAACTAATTTACACTCCCACCAACAGTGTATAAGCATTCCTTTTTGTCTACAACCTTGCCAGCACCTAAACTGGCATTTTTAATGCTCATATTCTTGTAGCTCATTCAAATTTGAAAGGGATATCTTTCTTGATTCAGAAGAAATAGAAACATCAGAAAAAAACAAGAGACTAGAATATTTTTAACCATAAGATTATTAAGTAGATAATTATTGCTTATTGTTGATGACTAGAAACTCAGCTTCATGGATAATGTAGCTTAAAGAAAGTACAATCACAAAGTTTATCAGTGGAAGTAGGATATTTTTTAGGCTAAAAGGAAACAATAATTATGCTGGGGGTAAGTAAAAATAGGCAGAAAATGGGACAATGGGATTGTCTCTAGCAAATCATAATAAGTGGTCATTCTACCTAAAGTTGTGCAGATGATACCTAAACCAATAAATGCTAAACTGAAAAGTGGTAAACACTTGAATGATCAATTTCAGAAATTCAAAAATATAGTTAGATAGAAGGTACAAAAATCTAGTGTTCAGTGGCAATATAGGGTAACTATAGTTAACAATAATTTATTGTATAGTTCAAAATAACTAGGATTTAGAATTTTCTCTACACAAAATAATGACAAATGTTTGAGGTGACGGATATATCTCAATTACCCAGATTTCATTATTACACATTGCATGCTTGTATCAAACTATCACATTTATCTCATAAATATGTACAACTATTATGTAACCATAAAAATAAATAAATAAATTCACCAATGGAGTAAAAACCTCAAAGGGTAGCTACCTGTTGGTCTCTAGAGTACAATCCTAGGCTTTTTGGTTTGGCTGTTATATCTTTTTGCTGTTGCTATTTTTGTTTGCAGGGTAGTGCATTTGTTTGTTTTAGTTTTACTTGTGTTTTATTGGGATGGGAAGTGTTGAGAGAAATTTTTTCAGTGAAATTTTATTGTTCCTTTGGAAACCAGTCCCCAAACAATGGTCTGGCTTCTTTTGTGAGGGCCTCAGGATTTTGATCCCAGAATATAATGCAATGGTTCATGATAAATATTAACACTATAAACCCTGAAGAAAGTTCTGCTCATTAGTTAATAACATGGTATTTAGAGTCACAATATTAAGAATTCCACCACCTTGAGAAAGTGATTTAACACAGCAACCAAAGCATTCTTTTTCAAAAGAAAACAATCTAAACATCACTCATCAGTTCACAATCTTGACTTCTTTCAAAACCAACACCCAAATCCCACAGGATGTTTCCTGGCCCCTTCCTGTTATATCAGCCTCAATTCCTACGTGGCTCCCCTTATTTGCTCTTCCAGTCACTCACGTTTCTCATAGATGAGTGGTTCCCAAATTCAGCTGATGTTGTCCCCACCCCCACACCAGGGCCATTTGGATTTGGCAATATCTGGAGAGAATTTTAGCTGTCACAACTTGGTGGTAGTGGTGGGTTGTGGGGAGTACTGGCATCTAATGGCTAGAGGTTAGCGATGCTACTGCTAAGCATCTTACACGCACAGGGCAGCCCCCACCGAAGAATCACCTAGACCCAAAATGTCACTAATGCTTAAGTTTAGAACCCGATTTCATCTTTCAAGCTTCCCAGGTCTTGCATACATTGTTTTCTTTGCCTAAAATATTCAGGCTATTTTCCCTTGTCCTCCTTTACCCTTGCCCTTTCCTCTTTTTCCTCCTCTTCTCTAACTCCCACTCACCCTTCGACAACCCTCTTATAGTGGCTTTACAGACTCTTCTTTACAGAATTACACTCTTTCAAAGAATTATGGAGCACTAAAGAATATTAATAGCAATTTCACGTGCATTTGTATGTGTTTGATTACCCCTCTCCACCACCAACTCCAGGTGCGTATATATCATACAGCTTATATTTACCACAGTATCCCCCCAGCTAGCACTGAATGAATGAACACTTAATAGCCTCACTTACAAAAGGGAAGTAACAAAGTAACCATTTCACTGGGTTGTAAAGGTTAAATAATACATATAAAGTCTTCAGCACCTTGCTTGAATCACAATAAATGCAAACACTGAGGCACTGCAGTTTGTGGACAGGTGAAGGGACTTCTTCTGTCTCTTAGCGCCTCCCGCACCAGTACCTCGGTCTGAGAAAGTCCTCCTCACCGTAAGCAGATATTGTTGCGCCTGCGCTTTCCTGGTTTCACAGCTAACGAGGCTGACGGAAACACTTTCCCCTTTCGCATTGGCCCGCCGCAGGCGGATTAGATACTGCGCATGCTCCATATTCGTAAGTCTCCTCCCCCCGCCCACCGGTGCCCAACCAAAGAGGAGAGCGCAAAACCTGCCAACACGCCTGCGCGAGCGGGCATGCCCCGGAAGCAGTTCTTTGGCCCTGTGACACGTAGCAACGGGGCTAGTTCAGGTTCTGAAACTGAGTTTGGGGATTGTTTGGGACTGCTGAAGATACTGCCTTTGCCGCCAGCGCAGCCTCAGCGTTTGGTGAGTGACCCAGGCCCGTGGCACACTGTTCAGCTTCTCTCCACAACTGTGCAAATGGGCTTGTTGCCGTCTTTCGGCGCCGCGCCCTGGTCCTTTCGCTCAGACCCTCGCTCCCATTCAAGCCCTTGCTCTGATGCGGGCCCCTGCACCTCAGGCGCGACCTTCCAAGATTCTGCACTTTCCTGGCAGGCGGCAGGCCTTATGTTTCAAGGAAGCAGTCGCGTTGTCGGCTGTAAAGCCCTGTCCCAAGGTGAAAAATCATTTCTGTTATTATCGATATTTTAGACCCCTATGGAACCACCACTCCCACGACCTCGTCCCTAGCTGAAGGCACATCAGCTCCTAAAGTGGAGTTGTCTTACTGGGCCTCAACTTCGGGAATAGACATTTTCTTACTCTCTCTCCGCTACCGTCCTTCGAATGCTGCATTTCCTCCCTGACCTCACCCCTGCCCCCCGCATTACTGAAAAAATATTTGTTGTGTTCTGTATTTGCTTAAGCAGACTGCCAGGAATGAATTCAGTAGGATCTTGGGGATAAGCAATATTTACCATTTCTCCTTTTACAGATTATTTGCAATGTCCGGTTTTGAAAACTTAAATACGGATTTCTACCAGACAAGTTACAGCATCGATGATCAGTCACAGCAGTCCTATGATTATGGAGGAAGTGGAGGACCCTATAGCAAGTAACTTTTCATCTTTGGCAATTAATTTAGTCTACATTGCAGAGAAAACACATATTTAGAATATTTGGTTCTGCCTAAAACAGTGTGTGAACATGTCCTTTATCAGGAATATGATTTTTCATGCATAATCTTCTTCCTCAGGAGAGACATGTGACATGTGACTGGTTTGGGTTTGAAGGTATTGCTCTATTTAGAGTTGGTCATCTTCTGCAAAATCTTCAGGTTTACCATGAATGGAAAAGTAGCTTGTTTGAAGAACTGTTTTCTAGTAATAGTATTTCTGTATTTAGATGAAGATGGGAGCTTCAGGCACCTAGGAGATAGGCTGTTGTTCATGGGACTAGTGAAAAATTAAGATCTTTTGTTAGTAGTAAAATCATTCCAACTCTGAGACTTTTATCAGTACTAATTGAAATTGCTTAGTGACATTATTATAACAGCGTAAGGTCACTATTATGAATCATCAGGTGGTTTTCATACAGCAGTTGATAATCATTTTTATTACTCCTTTTTCTGAAACCCTTATGGTCAGTACCACACATGTTGTTAGTTGCATACTGAGAAGGTGAACTCAGAGCCACTAGCCTCTGAACTTTTTTTTTTAATGATCTTTTTATAGTACCTTGTGTTTGTGACAAAAATACAATGAACCGAAGTCTTTCTAGCAATCTCATCTAGGACATCGTCTCCTTAGTTTCTTAGGACCCTAGAGATAATCTTAATAGCTTTCTGTCAGATAAAGGAGCTTCCTATATTAGGATTGCTTAGACTTAGATGGTTCTGGATCTCTTTAGGAATCTTATTACAACTGGGTCTCTTTCCCGTAAATATATGCATTCACTCAAAACACCAAAATAAATGTGCATGTATAACTTAAGACAATTCATGTGTTATACGATGTTCATCCATGGATCCCAAATTTAGAACCTCATAAAGACTGTTCCACAATGAGGGCAGGGGAAGGTTATGTCAGTTTGTGAGAAACATGCAATACCAGAATGTGTTTGGATTAGAGTGCCCAAGAATTTAAGAAACAAAACAAAATTCAAATACACTCTTGCTCTATAATAATCTGTCTTGGCTAGGCTATCCTTTCTAAAACTATAGACCCTTTGAGTCTGCTTAATGTGTTATATTCTAAGGCTTTGTTTTACCCTCTAAAACTTAACACATTTGAACAATGGCAGTGAGCATGTGAAAATACCCTCTGATTCATTTCTCTTTTCTGTTAAATTCTTAATTACATATCAATGAGGATTTATCTCTTTTGATCAATTAATGGGCAGAATTGGAAAATTTGTATTGAGATATTTCCATTCATTCATTTACCCAAATATGTATTTTTGGTGATTGTTCTGCGTATAGGAGAGCCAGAGTCCGTCTAATAAACCCTTGCCTAAAGCAGCTACAGGGCTTCAGAGAACCTGTCTCTGTATGCAGGCCTGTTTTTAACCGAATAGTTTTTTTATAGTTAGACTCAACAGAATTATTCCATTTAGATTGCGGCCTATAGGATCTATCTGTCTCTGCCTTTCTTTTCTGTCCTGTCCACGTTTGCTTCACTTAAAAGGTGTGACTTAACAGTCTCATTCCATTTTACAGTCATTTCAGTTCTCCATACAGCAATTTAGATATTCTAAACAACTTGTTGCTACTTAGCACTTGTTGTTATCTCACAGTTTCATTCCAACCAAATTATGTACCTGTAAGCATTGCTTCAGTACTAGTAAAGCTTTATCCCAGGTGATTATATAACCATTATTGCTATAAACTTGGCTTCATAGATGATGCCTGGGAAAAAAAGAAGCCTAATATATTAACAGTAGTAAATTTGAGTTTCTGAGATTTATTTTTTAAAAATTGAACTCTATGGCCGGGCGTGGTGGCTCAAGCCTGTAATCCCAGCACTTTGGGAGGCCGAGGCGGGTGGATCACGAGGTCAACAGATCGAGACCATCCTGGTCAACATGGTGAAACCCCGTCTCTAC